GGCCGTTGGAGGCCGTTGGCGACCGTTGGCCTTCGGCAGTGTGAGAGCGGCCGGGAATAAAAGCGGTTCCCTTAGAGGTGTTTGCTATGCGCTGACCCCAGAGAGGCGTTATTTTGGTGTCAGTGGAGGATGCCGGTAGCAGGGCCTTGTACAGGCTACTTCTAAAGCGTTGTAACATGGCTATAAAAATCACAGATTTCTTCTCGTGCGCTTTCGGGCCGATGTTTGATTTCACAAGAATCATTTTGCCCTTCATGGTAATTGGGTATCCGATCGTGATGAAGGGAAAAGCAAAGAGCTGTGGGGGGGTCGATTATCACGTTGAAGAATATGGCCACTGAGAAGCTTCCCTCGACTTAAGAAAGTGTTTCTATTTTAAAAAAATTGCAATGCAAATACTTTGTTTTGAACTAATAAACTGTATTTTTCAACCTTTTTATTCTGAACGTTTCATCTATGTGCTGGAACTGATTTGAAAGTGAAACTAATAAACAGCAAATACAACAATTTTTTTTTTCATTATCCCTACTGAAAAATGTAAAAGTAAGCAAAGGATGTAATGAAAGATGGACTGAAAACTAATATTTTTAGTCCTACGATATGCAAATGCCATGTGATAGCGTATAATACAGGGGTGTCTGAAGAGGGGCCAATCCAATTTTGAATGTCTGTGTATTATGAGTCCTGAAGTCAGCATAATTGAGTTAGCACAGCTGTGGACCTGCGCCACTCCACTGGTTGGTTTATACTGAACCTTATGGTAGGATTTGCTGGGGAGGGGGATCTGGTAAATGTGTCAGTGGGTGGCTTCTGCTCCCCAGCTAGCCCAGAGAGTGATGCTGTAATAGCATAAACCAAACTAATATTTCATTAGCATCAAAAAAGGCAGTGCTGTTCAGCCATTTACTGCCATGCTTCTCCACTTTGTTTGGTTATAACTGTGGGATGAGTTAGATCAGCTCACCCATCAAACCTAGAGCTGTAGTGCCAAAACAAAGGGAGTGGGCATGCATGACTGGATTGCAAGGGAGGGCATGATCAATCCCTTTTGGCAGCACCCTGCAGTTAGGTCTGAAACTAACTGCGGTGTTACCAAGTCCAACGTTTCTGTGCTCTGTATGCTTGTGGATATAGATATGTGCTTATTTGTAATAGGTGGCTTCGTACAAATGTGATGTTAACAAACCTTTTACCTAAGCTATCCGTACCGGCTACTATTCACAGAAATATGAAAAGTGAATTTCTATCGCTTTTTTAAAAAGTCTTGATTATACTAGAGGGGGTCACACACAGTGTGTTTAAGATGGATGCTTCAAATAGGTTCCAAGTATGAGATTTGTGAGAAAAGCAAGAGAGAATCAATACCTAGAATAACAGCATGTTTAAGATCCTTTTTTCCTTGGCCACCTTTGATTACTAACGTAATTCTACCAGTCCTTACTCAATGATACTGGACAGCAGCCTTATCCAAATTACATTAAATAATAATTTAAAAGATAATTTTGCATTTAAATGTATTTAGGAGTTTTTGCTCTATATGCTCATTTTGTTATTAACATTTTCTTTTTCAAAAGTGTTACAATTTGAGCCTGATTTTCTGTTTTGCTAATTTCTGCTACTTGCAGTGGAGTCTTCTTTAGACTATTAGCAGCTTGTAAGTTTGCTTTTTCTCCTTGTGACCAGTTTACAAGGGAACTTACAGCATTCAAATGACCAGCCTTGCAGGCACAATGCAATGGAGTATCCTTGCTGCTGTCTAAGGCATTAATAGCTGCCCCTTGGCTCAGTAATAGATTTATCAAGTCACTGTGTCCATATTCTGCTGCGATATGTAGTGCAGTCTTTCTCCAAATATTTCTTTCATCAATATTTTTATTTTTCCCTGAGGTCAGAAGAATTTTTACAATCTCTGCATTTCCTTTGATGGTTGCATAGTGCATTGGAGTACATCCATCCATGTCCTTAACTCCGGATCTGCCTTTTTTGGCTAACAGAACTTTAATGCTACTGAGATGTCCTCTCATAGCTGCAGTGTGCAGGGGAGTCTTTTTTTCTTTGTCTTGTGCATTGGGGTCAGCATTAGCATTCAAAAGCAGCTCTACCATTGTGTTATCTCCCCTTTCAGAAGCAAGATGTAAAGGTGATTTTGACTGCTTATCCTTAACATGAACATTGGCTTTGTGGTGCAACAGCTGTTGAGCAACATCAGTGTTACCTCTTTGACTCGCAATATGCAGGGGAGTAACTAACTCTTTAGTGACGGCATTAATTTTGGCCCCAGCATCAACTAAAATGCTAACTAGTGCTCCTTTATTATGAAGGGCAGCAACATGGAGTGGAGTTTCACCTGCCTGGTTCATAACGTTAGCTTCCATCCCTTTGTGTAGAAGTAGATTTGTGATGGAAGCGGCCCCAGCTTGAGCTGCCAGGTGCAAAGCTGTGTCTGAAGCAGGAGTCTTTATTTCAAAGTTAGCACCCTTTTCAATTAGAACTTCTGCAGATTCAGCTTTGCCTGTTTCACATGCCATGAGTAAAGGAGTATACTGCATTTCATTGTAGGCGTTTATATCTGTGCCTCTGTCAACTAAAGCTGCTACAATACCATGCAGATTTTTCTGTACAGCTTTGAAAAGAGCTAACTCCATTATGTCAGAGGACAAGCCTTTACAATAGTCTAGCAGTGTTTTGAAAATGGATGGGTGGTTGCTGTTGAAGGCTCTTTCAGTCATTTTGGAATCAACACTGGCTCCAGCCTCTAGCAGTACTTTTGCAGTGTTTTCAAACCCCTGAGAGACAGCATAACTGAGAGCTGTCTGTCCTCTTTCATCCTTTCCATCAACAGAGGCGCCATTCTTTAAAAGCGTTTTTGCCAGAATGCTCTCATCTTTAAGAGCTGCCATGTGCAAAAAGTTGTGCTGGTTCCTGTAGCTTCTTGCCTCTTCTTTCAGGAGCGTCTTCAATATGTGACCGTGGTTATTCTGTGCAGCCAAATGAAGTGGTGTCTTGCCTTCTCTGTCCAAACTATACATACAAGCGCCACATTGGAGAAGCACTTTCACTGCATCATCGTGGCCTTTCTCAGCAGCCCTGTGCAGTGCTGTTCTTCCTTTCTTATCCTTCACATCTCGCCTAACACCTTTGCTAATCAAATATTCCATTACTGTTAGATGTCCATTAGCAGCTGCAATGTGCAGGAGTGTTTCACTTGCAGAGTTTAGTGCATTAATATCATTATCTTTCAATGTTTTCTCTAACTCAGAAAGGTAGCCTTTAGCTGCTGCATCAAAGATGCCAATATCAGAATGATCTTTCTTAGGTTTTGCTGCTGCTGAAAGTTCAGTTTCTTTTCCTTTCTTCTTAATAGACCATTCTTGCTTTCTTCTTCTAGGACGCTCTCTTTTTTCTTGGTGCTGTTCACTGCGATTTTCAAGCCAAGCCTTATCTTTTTCAGTTAAATACCCTACCAATTGTCTTCTAGCATCCCCAATACTTTCGTTTATTTCGCTGACATATTTTCTTATCTTGTTATAAAGTTTTGGCTCCACTTGTTTTAAACATGGGTAAAAAAAGAGCCTGCAGGCTCGTTCACCATGAGAAATTAGTATATCTAAAACTCGAGAGTTCTTTTCTTTTCGTGTCCTATAGAAAGTCATGACTATCTTTTTTTCTGGTGTAAAAATGCCATTGTCTATAAGCCAGTTCAGAAGATTGTCTGGATTATTTATGCCTTCTACTAGCTCTTCTTTTTTAGTTCTTAGGACTTCAATTGCATATGGATTTGTAAACAGGCTGGTTGAATGCGCGATCATATTGATCCTCAAAATGTGAACTGAGCTATTAGTTGATGTTTGAAGTTAAATAGGAAAGTGAGATCACATCATTTCACAAAATCTTTCTTACAGAACTATGAATCAGCAACTATTGTAGTTCAGTAATAAATCTTTGAAGAGTGAGAAAGAAATCAAAACTCCCTCACCTTTAGTTTTCTAGTCTTGTTGGAAGTCCTTTATCTTCTTTGTTCTTCCTTAGCAACAAGTGAAGTTTAATAACAAAACAGAACTCTGTAATATGGAAAGATATTCCACTTGATAGACCTCTTACAGATTTTTAGGAAAATTAGGGAGACAAAAAATGCTTTTGCGAAGGTAATATTTGAGTAGAAGATATGGGTTTATCGAGTTCCTCTGGGCCAAGCTGTTTTTCGTTGGTGCCTAAATGACTAGTCTATTAAACATGACAAAAGAAAATTGACAGCATAGTTACTGTTGCTATGACTTTGTACACTCTTAAATAAAAGAGTACACATTGCCAGCTACATAGGTGAAAGCACTATAATGCAATGAAGTAATAACAAAGCTCTAAATGAAAATAAACTATATAAAGCAACTGGTTATGAAAAGTGATCTAGGCTGTCTAATATGGGTTATAACTTCAATTTGTGAAGTGTATTTAACTTTAAGGCTATTTAGCTTGTCATTTTGGCTGTAACCTGTAGTCTGTCTGGAACTTAATTCCTCCATATGAGGTGGATCAAGGTGTGATTCAGTATGCAGCATTTAAAGTATAAATAAACAAAGCTTCAAATCTGTGAATATATATATATATATAAGCTTCTGTATGGCTGTAGAACCTTTGAATTTGGCTGTTATTAACTCCTGTAACCTACTGGAGATAAAATTCCTTATGGAAAGAAGCAAATACAATAATAATCATCTAAATACTTGGAAACCAGTTGAGAGATAAGTTTACATGACAGCATCCTGTAAAAAGCTAGCAACAGAGCTGGAAGCAAAGTGAGCTGAAAGCCTGATTTTATTTAAGCCAATGGGAAATTTTGCCATTTGTCTGTTCAGTGCCCTTTCTGTTGGATACTGCTGCCTTTGGGTGTATTTTCTGGAGTACTATGTACAATGTGACTGATAAGATTTTTGATTTTTTTTTCTGTTGACTTTACTGTTGTAAGTGAGATTGAAAAGCTTTTTGAAAAATGATTTATTGAAGAAATAGTCAGGAAAGGCAAGACTTAATATGTGTTTTGAAAGCCAGCCAGTTACCCAGTCAGTAAATTTGGCAGCCAGTTTCAGAACCCAATTCATCTAAAATGCAAAAAAGGGCACTACACCAAGAATAGCAAAACCTTTGTCGTTTAGTTAATCATTGTTAACACATAACATGGAAAACCATGGTTTATTGTAAGGAGTCAGGAGGTCTGAACTGTGTTCCCGATTCTGCTAATGACTCAGTCAGTGATCTGCAAGTTATTTAGTCTTCAGATCTGCCTCAACAAAGTACTAAAGATGTATCTGCGTCTTGAGTAAATTCATGGTTGTTACTTAAAGTTGCTGAAATGGGATCTTTATGCCTTCGTTATTATTGTTCCAGTGTAGAATAGAGATAGTAGTACTTGATTACCCTTACAAGAAATTTTGAGTTCTATCAGTGGAAAATGTTATGTGAGTGCTAAGCAGTATCATTAATATAGAAAGCATGAAAAATTTTGCAACTCCTGAAAAACATCAAAAACAGAAATTGTGATGCTCTTTAACCATTTAGTAGTGTGGCAATAATTTTCTAATGTACTGAATACAGCAATTTCACTAGTAAAGAGAAAAAATCGAAGGGTGCAGTACTCCTAACTGGCCTTGAGGAGGAACATTTGAACAATATATGTGAGTAACATCTCTCAGAGTCACTGTGAAACTTATTTGGGGAAAATAATATGCAGCAAATTACTTTTTACTTGGTGCAAATCACAGTCTGCAAAATGTAATTACACGGTTTTTAAGAGGGTTCTTTATTATACATACGTGACTTAGGAAGAAATTCTGTCCTTGAACAAGAATAACATTTGACAAAATTTTGGAAGCTTGTTGTATGGATTAATTTTTAGAAATGATACTGAAAAGTCTTTATCTTGTAATCAGTATTTTAACTAATCTTAGCATTAAGTCTTTGCTGCAACAGTGACCTCACAAAAAGGGCAAAAACCAAACAGTTGAGAAGAAAAGAGATTCACAATTAGCTATTTGAAGCATGCTTTTTATTTATATCATCCTAACTTGTTAACTCTATTTATTTGACTTACAAATATTTTAGAGAATGGAAGGATGTTAATGTTCCACGCATCTCCTCCTTTAATTAAGTACGTGAGACTACCTATACTTGGGATCACCACCAAGTTGTTCATTGAAAATAAGAAGGGCAAAACTTATTACTAGTGATCTAAGAGAAGAAAGAAGTTGGAGGGAAGAAGAACTAAATCTTTAGCCTTCTTTATTATCATTTATATTGATGTGCGATCTAAAAGGCATAAGGTGTTTTTTTTTTAATTTTCCTAAGTTCCTCACAGGTCAGTTTTATGTCTCCTGGCTTCTTCAGCTCCATGTATCCAAGGACTATTCCTTATTTAGTTTTTTTTTAAAAAGATAAGGAAATGATAGATTTTATTTCTGTTGCCATTGCAGTATAGCACTTAAGGATGTTTGCGTTCAGCAGCGTGGGGATATAGCAGCTCAGCTTCTATATAATGAGGAAATTTTATGTTTTTCTCTGGAGAGATATAGGAAAGAATTCTGACTGATGTTACTTTGAGTTCAGCTTCATTAGTGTCATCAGAGAAACTTCATGCTGTAGGCGTGCTGGCTTTATTTTAAATATGTTGTCAAAAAGCCTCTAGTGAGCAGATTGTCATGACATAGAAATACTGAGAATCTTGACAATGGCCATATAAGCACTAATGTCATTGTTAGGTGCAGAAGTAAAACCTTATTTGTATGTATATACGTAATTACCTAGAAAAATTGCCTTAGATGCACCCATGTATTCAGCATTGACTCTGTGGGAGGATATCAGCTGAAAACAACATGATAGAATTTAGAGCAGGCCTAAGTAAGGACAAGCGATGCTATTGGTAGAAAGGTCTGTATTTTGGCATCTACTGAATGAATTTCCTTATAGGGAGCTTCTGATCACTGTTTTAACCCAGCTATATAGCTGGTCTGAGAGAGGAGGCTTGAGCTAGTTATTTCCTACCTGTAATCTCAGTTTTGCTACTAACTTGTGTCCTTGGGCAAATCACTTAATCTCTGTGCCCTGTTTACACCAGCATTAAAAAAAGAAATTTTTTTCTACCTCACAGACATGTCCTAAGTGTTTATTAATGCTGGTGCAGTGCTTTGAAGTTATGAAGAGCTTTGAAGTTTTTGTCCTTTGAAGTATTGTTTTCTGACTTCTCAAAGATGAACATTTATTTCTTAAATTAACACGTGCCCATGTTTTCTGGTTTACTTTATGTTGGTGTGTCACCCCAAATATACCTGTAATTTTCTTCCTTTTAATTTCTCAGAGACTAAAGCAAACAAAACTACACCTTGCAAATTGTTAAATCAACATTGGAGATGATGTAGCCTTATGAGGAAGGGACCTGTAGAGGTCACCATTCCTCCACAGAGCCTTTCGCAGCAGCGCCTGGCCTGCTCTCAGCCTGGAACCTCCAGCTGTGGTTACTGTCTTCTGCTGAAACCACATGTAATGTAACTGAATGACTTCCAGTAACTTTGTATATTCTCTAGGGTATTTTAGTGATAAAACTGATGGAAAGCCAAACATTAATAACCCAGTTTTGCTCACCGTGATATTTTTATGTTTCTCAGTGTGTGCTTTAATTTCAGTTAAAGTAAGACAATTGTTTGCAGTCATGCCAACTGCTTATTGGAAACATATCTTATTGCAGAATAACCAGTTTGTAAGAGAGAATGAAATGAACATCATTATCTAAACATCATGAGGGATGGGAGAATATACTTGGGTGCTAATGAAGGCATTCTCATTAATAAACATGGCTCAGGAATAAAGCTTTGTTTTGTATAATCAAAAATGTAACTGAGGCCTAGCTGGTTGAGGTTGAACTATATATAGGTATAACTAGATTGAGAAACAGCAGTGTTAGAAGTGTTCATGATGCTGATCAGAGCGTACTTGACTTATTATAACACTGGAAGGGCAGCTGACTAGTCAGAAGGTCTGCAAGAGACAAAACGTAGTGCTTAATTTTGCCTAAAGAATGGCTGCACTAAATCAGGGAAGTCAAAAGGGGAGCTTTTGCACTGAGTGGCCTTGTTTGTGTTCAGTCATATTTGTGTAGAGAGTAGATTGGGGGCCTTCCTGGTACCGAGAAATCTCTACCCTGGCTGGTATTTAAATAAGAGGTGTTCCCTAGAGTAGTGCCATCCTCTGCATGGTACTGGCACAGGGAGACGTGCATATATCATCAGGGGCCTGAGCTGGGGCCTGCCGGAGGGAAGCAAAGCTGAGCTGGCCAGTCATATGTTTTGCACCTCAGACTTGCACTCTGGGCCCCCATCTTATTTTCTCTGCAACTTTTTTTAGTTGCTGTAATTTACAGGCCAAAGAAAATAGAAGCATTACAATTTTGTGAATATTACTAATTATGTTTTACGTTTCTGTACATATTTATTCTGCATAAATCCTCACAGTCAGAAGCTTAATTTAAATTTAAGAACTAATTTGCCTCTTAATCTAGTGATTAAACCTATATGGCCACTAATACTGACTGTTACTAGTGCAGGAAAAAACATTTCCCAATTCATTAACTTAAAGTTGTAGCGAGGTTAGGATTTGTATCTTAATTATCCTTTTAGGGGTCTAAATGTATCCTTTTAGACCAACCTTAATAGCAAGCAGTTACGGCAAAATGCTTGCCCTCAAATCATTAGCATAAAATGTAAATGATGTAAAAGTATTAAGTTACTAAATGCTGAGGCAACTTCAAGGATCAGCAAAACCAAGT